ATGCTTATATGAAATCAATCGCATGAATTGAAATAACTAAAAAAGAAGAATATATTTTTCTTGAAAATTTCTCTATCCTTTAAGCTTATCGAATTTTTCAATAACAGATTGATAAATCCATTTATGATATTTTTGAATGAGATTTTTCCAACCGAATCATGAACTTTCTCTTAAATTCTTGACTTGAGGTATCTTTTATGGGAATCAAAATCTTTTTTATTTTCTATGATTTCTACTTTTTACCATTTACCAAAGAGGAGAATTATATAAATAACCATGATCTTGATAATTATAACTTGAGATTTTTTATAAATTAAGATCTATGATTTTTCTCTTGATTGATGACTTAAAATTTCTTTTAAAGATCTTTTACTATTTGATCCTCTAATATTTTTTTTTGTTATTTAAGAGAAAATTTGTCAAAATAAATCATGGCTTTTGGTACTCATAATTTAATATTAATCTTTCATGTCATAATTTATTTATCCTAAATGACTCCCTTATATTCATGAATTATATACCTCATCACCAAATTGATATCTTTTATTTTGTCATAATTTAAAAATGATGTAAAGGAAAAAAAATTACATAATTGTATTTTTCTCTTCTTTTTGACAATGATAAAGGGGGAGACAAAAATGTTAGCTTGCATATTTCAAAGAAAGATTACTAGCTTGCATATTTCAAAAGAGAAACAAAGATTGCTAGCTTGCACATCTCGAAAGAGAAGCAAAGTTTGTTAGCTTACATATTTCAAAAAAAAGTAAAAGTACTGGCTTCTATATCTTAAGAAAAGCAAAATTGCTAACTTTCATATCTCAAAAACTTGCTAGCTTACATGTTCAAAAGTGAAGTAAAACTTGCTAACTTACTAGCTTGCATGTTTCAAAATTTTACTAGTTGCACTTTTATCCTTTCTGTTGATAACAAAGGGGGGAGAAGTTATGATGATGATCATGCATGACATACTTTGATGTTTTGAAATTATAATGAGTTAAAATTATACACGCAATACTCATGTATGCAATGATGTGAAAGTCATGGTTTCAAAGGTTGTCATTCTTTTTAAATGAAGGTTTGTTTTAATTCAATATGACATATTAATAGGGGGAGTTTAGTTTAAACTCCGTCAGCAATTAGTTGTCATCATAAAAAAGGAAAAGATTATTGAATCTCGGATTTTGATGATGAAATCAATTGATGAAGTTATGATCTAATGTGTGTTTGAGTGACGCAAAACTAACTTCGATCATAGAAATACAAATCATTAAAGCAGGAAGAATCAAATGTTGGGCCGGAGTGGAACATGTCAAAAGATTGGACGTCGGGTCAAAGGACTAGTCAACTTGTCGGAAGGACTTCATGCCATGAGTTCGAGCATCGGATCGAAGGATCAAACATTACGCCAAAGGAGATTGGATATTATGGAAGGTTAACATGTCAGTTGAGCAATACATTGAAGGAGAGGATGAAGCATCGAAGGATTGGATAAAGCGTCGGATGAACCAATGATATGCCGGACAATATAGGATTTACGCTTGTAATTATATATGTCTAGATAGAAGTAGTCTAGGTTTAATTAAGTTAGTTTCGGGTGTAACTAGGCTAACTCAGTTAGGGGCCCATTGGGTGACCCATTCAGTGACCTAGAGCTAGGTCAAGCGGTGGCACTACTAGGGCTGGCGGTGAAAACTCTTGAGGATCGGCCTCCTAGGTAGTGTTTGGGTAGTGGTACTGCCCAGTGTTAGGTGGTGGTACTACCCTGACAAGTAGTGGTACCGTCATAGCCTAATCTCCGAGGCTGTCACGCGGTCATACCGCTTAGACTAGCAGTAGTACCGCTAATTGTTAGGGGTGCAAGCAGTAGTATCGTCTAGTACTAGTAGTACAATCAATATCCTTGAAACCGAGGATATGATACTTTTTGACTCTATTTTTAAAGTCATTTGGGGTCTATAAATACCCCACTCTTTCCTGCTTAAGGCAGCAAGAAATTGAGTAGAAAGGGAAAATAATACTTGAGTGAAAAATTATTGTAATCTCTTTTAAAGTTTACAGTCTCTTCCTAGAATTAGATGTCTTTCTAAGGGATAAGTGAGGTAAGAGTTGTAAAGGTTCTCTTTTGAGCCTATCAAAAGGAAAAATAGTTATAAGAGGATAGTTGATCTTCGTCTGCTAAAAGAAGATTGGTAGTGAATGCCGATGGCCTCGATAGTAGAAGACTCAAGAGTGGATGTAGGTCGGGATGACCGAACTACTATAAACTCGATTTGGATTTACTTTATGCTCTTCATTCTGATTACAAACTGATTTATTTGCTCACTACACTTACAAATGCTTTTATCGAATGAAGTTTTTCAAACTGTCGAAGTTTTACAAAAATATTAATTCACCCCCCTCTTAGTGCTGAAATAGTCCTAACAGTAAGAACATATGGGATATTCCTTTCATGATACTGAGAGCAGATGATCCTCTATCGATACTCAATAGCCCTCATAAGATTGGCTGCCACTCCCGATCACCAATTGTGCTAGATCTGGAACTTCCAAACATATAAGTCCGGTATCAAAGAGTGGAGTACTCATATAGGACATCCTTGATATCTCAAGTCTAAGGATTAGGTACACTATTGGGATGACGGAATCACTATTTGACAATAAGATATCATCAACCATCCAGCATTCGGTGAACGGATCAATTAGTGAACTCATTCTCCAATGAGCACCTGCACTGTATCCTTAGTGTTTTCACATGAGTAGCTATGAGACCAGTCACCTCCATCATATGGACGAGTATATAGTACACTAATTTGTCCGGTTATCTCGATATCCCTCTCGAGTAACCTATGATCGGGATTATTTAGAGTTTGTGTTTAAAGACGAATCGGTCTAATTATCGTAATCTCATCACAATCTGATTCCCATTGTACAAATTTATGAACATCACAATATATTCATGCAATAAGTAATATAAAGTGATAAAATTCTAAATAATATAATAAGCAAAAAGATTGTGTGTCATGTTACATGTGTCATTATTTACGTGTTTGGCTTATAGGACACCTATGACTAGCACCTAACATAACCCTGGGTCACTGAATGGGCCTCCCAATGAGCCTAACTTAGCCATAGATTAGGCTCAAAGAGCCTCTAATTGAGTTAGTAGGGACCCAAATCTAACTCAATTTAAGACTTAATTAGGACAATTAAGACCTAAACAATCACAAGACAAGAATCTAAGTTGTTCGGGGTGTCATTGGTTCATTCGAACTCTCGATGAACTTTTGACGCATTGTTTAAACCTTTGGCATATTGTTCAATCCTTCGGTATGTTGACTCTCACAACACTCGATCTTGGCGCAATGTCCGATTCTCCAGCCCGATGCTTGATTTCTGACTCTGGTCTAATGTCTGATTCTTCTTGCTTCAATCGTTTTGCCTTTTTTTGATCGAAGTTAGTCTTGCATCATTTTTCTCAAAAATAATATTAGATCATAAATTCATCAATTGATTTTATTATCAAAATATGATATTAGATTATATATTCAAGATTTTGGAATCAATCTCATCTATATTATTTATCTTTTATACTAAAAAATAAAACTTACCTAGTGTACCAATTCTATTTTATTTCTTAAAGGATAATCTGATTTAAAAAAAGATTTCATAGTTTGAAGGAAACAATAATTAATACTTCAATTAGGAAGTTTAATTTATGTAAACCATATTCGAACTTATGGTAAGCGCAATGACAGTTGAGATATCCAATAAAATTAGAATTAAGTATTTCTCTCTAATTAGAGGCACAGTGTTTGACAAGCTTGGGCGCAAAAGCCTGTTAAAACATGACCCTAAGCCACATTTAATATGATGATATCAACTATTCAACCTTCCTCGTCTCTCTTTTTAGATTAATACCATGATAGTATAATCAAGATTTTTATCCTAATATTATTAGGCATAAGGTTTTGTAACTTGTGAGTTTGAACTAGAAATTATCTTATAATCTGATAATTTATCTTAAGATTCTGGATTCATATTTTATCTTAGTCACTTATTCTTTATTAAATAATAATAATAATAATAAATTATAAATATTTTAATATTTCATAATTTCATATATTAATTAATGTGCCGCTTTCTTCTTTATAATGCTAAAAAAATATAAAAGATTTTTCTGATGATCCTAATGGGATGTTTTCTAAGCTGAGTCATCCATATTCACTCGGTTCACATGAATCGGTAGGTTCACCTCCCTCACTTTTCTCTGTTCTGTACTTCTCATCCTTATCCTCTCCACCTGACGGCCGCGACCATCGAACATCGTCCTCCCCCTCCATCCACCTCGCACTGTTTCAATCCAAGCCAGATTCGTAATTTGTAATTGCATTGATCACAGCCGTCCGATTAAGATCGGGCGTCTACGAGAGCTTATCCTGGATTCGAGGAGAATCCTGAGTAGATTCCGGGTCCCTGGGAAGGGCTTTTGGCGGGTCAAAATTTTGCCGACGACGGCTTCACTTCCCAATAAAACTTGCATTTAAAAAAAGAGAAAATAAATTTAGAAAAAAGCATATTCGAAGGCATATTTGAATCGGATGAGAAGAAAACCAAAAATAGAAAATAGAAAAGAAAAAAAAAAAGAAAAGGGAAAACACGCGACAATGGTTGCGATTCGATAGGGGGAGTAGCGGAGAGGAGAGGAGAGGAGCGGATCGACAAGATTTCCATCATAAATCCACGGTCGCGGAGACGCTACGCTATCCTTCGCCTTCGCCTTCCGCCGCCCTTCTTCCCTTCCTGTTCCATTGGATCTTCTTGAGGAGCTTCCGTTCCCATCGAGCCACAAAGGTTGCATCTTTGTTTTCGTGCACCAACTGATCCGATTAGGGATCTCTCAAATATTTCAGATCCTTTGTGCACGATGTTCGGTCCGATTTGTTGATGTTGTTCGATTAAATCTCAAAAGCTTCGATTTTTCTTACAGTTCTTGGTTTGCAAATCGAAGCGAGAGGAGGAGGAGAAAGAAATTGGAGTTGGTGGTCTGAGGCTGGGCTTGGCTGTCGACGTCCTCCGACAGCCGGCCCTTCTGTTCTTCCCGGAAGCCCTCGGTTCTCTCGGGTAAGTCGCAGTTCGCTCCTCGACGAGCTTAGCCATCTAATTGGAACGAGAAAGCGACGCGCTTGGTCAATTAATTTCGGCTTCGTGAGGCCTTTGACCAAGAATCCTCCACTTTGACTCCCTTCTCAATCCGTGTTCATCGTGCTTGATTCTAACGCGTGGATGACCTGTTTCCCACAGAGCAGGTCGGTGGTTGCGTCCTCGACGAGCCTGCAAAGAATTGTTTTCCTTTATATTACTTTTCATGCACAGACGCTGAGCCATTTCGCCCCCAATGGCTTCTCTTTACGGAATTCTGCATCGACCTCTCTCCGCCGCAGCCGCCGTCGCCGTCGCCGCCGTGTCGTCGGCACTGCCGGACCGCGTCTCCTCCCAGCCCAATCGGTCGGACTCCCATGCCGCCGCACCTACGCACGTCTTGTTGCCGGAGCCAGAGCCTGCAGCGCGTCGGATGTCCGTTTCCGACATCTCGAACCTCCCATTCTTGCCCATCGACAGAAAGCGTTCCGCCCATCTCCCAGATTCCGTCTTCGTCTCGCCCCCCTTCCCCATGGCTTCGCCTGCAGTCCTCCTCTCCCCGTATGAGTACGCCAAGCTGGCCAACCCCAAAAAGAAAGACGAATTCCCGCCGGCCATCGCTTCTTCGCCATCGGATGTGATGTACCGCTGGCATCTGCCTGACCCCAATGCTTCTGGGGTTGCCGGGACCGATCACTGCTCGAGAGCAAAGTCCCAGACGGTGGTGATTTTGCTCGGCTGGCTCGGAGCGAAGCAGAGGCATCTGAAGAAGTATGCTGATTGGTACACCTCGAGGGGGTTTCATGTCGTGACCTTCACATTTCCCTTGGCCGATGTAATGAGCTACAAGGTCGGAGGGAAGGTCGAGCAGGATGTCCAGTTGCTAGCAGAGCATCTTGTGGATTGGGTCTCGGAGGAGAACGGGAAGAACTTGGTCTTCCACACTTTCAGTAACACAGGCTGGTTGACGTACGCTCTCTGTCGTCCATCTCCCATTAGCTTTCTTCTTCTTCCTCCGAAGAGAAGTTTGTGGCTAAAATTTGATTGTTATTTGTTGTAGTTATGGAGTATTACTCGAGAAGTTTAGGAAGCAGGATCCATCTGTGATCGGAAAGATCAAGGGATGTGTCGTGGATTCAGCTCCTGTTGCTGCATCCGATCCTCAGGTAAAGGATTTGTTTGGTCTGGAATTCTGATCTATACTTCATTGAATGTTTATCTTTTGCTTTGATGATTTGTTAGTTTTATGTCAGTGGTGTTCATTTCAATTCTAATTTGTGCATTTGTATAATTATATTCAGTGTGATAATTTTCTTTTGTCGTTGTGACATACCATCATTACCTAAATAATGCTTCTATTGATCTTCTTCCTTTTCCTATCACCATTTCTTTAGTTACACATTGAGGATCTTCATCCTGTATTACTAGCATTGCATCAAGTCTTTTGACATGATCAAATCTGAGCTTGACTTTGGTAACAAACCGACATTTATTTGAAAAGGAGAAGAGGGAAAATGAGGAAGTTTAAGAGAAATAAAATGTGTGTTCTGAGCCAAAAACAGAACTAGGGTAAGAAGAAAAAAGATGTGCATGAGTCTGCTCTTTCACATTATTATAATAAATATACTTTCTTTTTTATTCATAGTTGTGGTATTCTTTTGTTCTTCTGATAAGCTCAATTTTCTGCACAAGCAATGTGATTATATTGCACCTTTGGAAGAATTAACCATGGTTTAGTTTTCATACCGTTCCTAATTCTCAAAATCCAGTGCGATAAAAGTTCCAATCTTTGCTTGGTATAGGTCTGGGCTTCAGGTTTTTCTGCTGCTTTCTTGAAAAAGCAGAGTGTAGCAACAAAGGGGATGGTAGGCTCAAATGATTCAGGGAAGGGCATGACGGATACTGGTGATTCAAGCTTGGGACCTAAACCTGCAGTCGCAGAAAGTGCTTTGTTAGTAGTCCTGGAGAAGTTCTTCGAGGTGGTCTTAAACTTACCTGCTATCAACAGGTAGTGTTTACTATCCGTAATCAATTGTCAGCTATTGCTATCTGTCTTTTTCCAAAGTGCTCAATATAACCAGTCTAATATGAGGTAGACTAGTTTTTCGAAACACAAACTAATCTTGCAAGTCCCGGATTTATTTATGAAAAAGCAAGTTGTCTTAAATGTTTTGGAGTTACTCATCAAGAGATAAATCATATAAATAAATCATATAAATGGTGGGTTAGTGTTGTGGAGACATTAGATAAGGTTGGCTGTTAGTTCTGTGTGCTACGATCTTTTTCACTGTAAGACAGTGGAATTCCAATGACGAATAATATGTTTTTGGCAATTCTTACAGGAGATTGTCTGATGTCTTGGATTTACTGACTTCAGAGCAACCCAAATGTCCTCAATTGTATATATATAGCTCTGCTGACCGAGTAATTCCTGCAAAATCGGTGGAATCCTTTGTAGAAGCACAACGGAGAGCCGGGCATGAGGTCAGGGCATGTGATTTCTTGTCATCTCCTCATGTTGATCATTTCAGAAGCCATCCAGGTCTCTACAGTTCTCAGCTTGCCAACTTTCTGGAGGACTGTGTTCTCACCTGTTGCAGGGATTCTTCATAAGACATTTTTTGCATTATATAATACCTTCACATTGATGTTCATTCTTTTCCTGGCTATCAATTTAAATTTGCCAGGCATCATATAATTTGACAGAAAACCATTTTACTCTTTTTTTTTTTGTTTTAAAATCATGTGATTACTGTAAAGACATCATCCAATTTAAAGAAGAGATGAAGTATACCTGTTTTCCTTAACTTTGCTTTTGCTTGATCTCTTAAATTGATGCACTGAGTTAGTAATTTGTGTCCATTTACTTATATGGTGAAATGAGTCAGATGACATGAGTCATCTGAAAACCATACATTCTTTCTCAGAGAATTATCTCTGCATCATGAAGCAAAAAAGCTCTGAAAGTGTTTTTGTCACATGCATTTAATCTTCTGTTGCATCAAGATCTATCTTGATTCAAATGAGGACTCTGACATTATACTATGATTCTTGTTCTTTTGATGCATGCAGTGGATAAGTTGAGAATATTGAACAAGCTAGATTGAATTATTTGAACTTGTGAAATCCTAGTAATGTCTCAGAATGGATGAAGTTTAGAATTGGTCAACAAGGTCTATCTGTCTTGAATATTATTTGTTTGATGACTTAGATTATACAAGCTTCGGTCAGATGCTGAACTTAGATTTCTTTGACAGACTAAACATAGATTTATATGTCTAGCTCATAAGGCAACCGTTTTATGCAAAGACAAAACATTAAAGATCCAGTAGAAGAGCCATTAAAGATTTCCCCTTGAATCCAACTTACTTTTGCCACTTGGTCTCCCACTCAACCTTCGTCTCTAGACAAACATGCCATATGGATCAGTTTTTCTGGGTGTACACTCAAAAACCATGTCCCAAACATTCATTGGTCTCTGCATCAGCTCATGACAACAGAGATCATCCAAAGCACCTGGAAGGGACTGGGGAGAGGGAGAGAGAGAGAGAGAGAGAGAGAGAGAGTAGGTTAGGTT